TGCTTTCTCTATACCAAGATTCTTTGATTCAACTAGAGTGTTTATTATAAGTTATAAGCAGAATTTACTTGCTTATTGTCCAAATTGTTAAGCTTTTTAAGTATTTCTTGTAATATGTTTTGATGTTCATCGATATGTTACATAATTAATAATTCTTCTTTGTGCTTTTTGTTTTTCTTTTTCTAGTCTACTTGCTTCAGGCTTGGATGATCTTGTCTCTTTGTGTCCAAAGTTATAAATATCTTGAAAATATACTCTTCTGTATTTTCTTGATCTGGTTTATTTCTCTCTGCTTCTTTTTGCAATATTTTTTTCCTTCATACCAAAACAACTTGTTATAATAATAAAAAACACTCTTTTCTTTTGCTTTCTGGCAATCTTCTTCAGATCCAAAATAAGCAAAGGTTATGCTTCATTTGTTGCCATTACTATTATTAGGTATAAAAATTGTTTTGACTTCTAGTGGTCTTAGTTGTCTTAACAATGTTGATTCTAATGCTGATTTTGAAATATTACTTAGTGCTGCTTTGTGTTTTTTTCTTTTTTCTAACACATTTGAGTCAAATTTTTCTAGTATAATTTTGCATATTGTTCCTTTTTCAAAATATATTAACCAACTTGTTACAAGCAGACCTAATTTCTTCTGATTTTATTCAGTAGTCTGAACTACTGCTGATTTGGTTTTCTTAAGCATTTTCTATTCAAGAATTCTTGCTTTTTTATAAAAGCTTAAACATCTTATAACTCTTCTGTATTTTGTGTCTTTTGGTAGGTTCATAATGTTAGCATTACTACTAGACTCTTTTTTTATTTGACTTGTTCTTTTTGTTCTTGCTTCTCTTTTGATACTTTATTTTAAATGAAACTCTTTGACTTGCTTTTATTAGCCTATATAAAGTTGTTTATATTTTTTGGTGCCTATCTTGATGTATAAATATCTTTTTGAATTCTATTTTCTGTTCTTCTTTCTTTATTAATAACTTTCTACTTGAACTACTTTTGTATTTTAAAAGGTTGAGTCCTTTTAACTCTTCTGTTTCTGAATTATATGTACTACATTCTGTCATTAACAATGCTATTTTATCTTCTATTTTTGTCTCTTCATCTGAATTATCGAGAATTTCTTTTTCTGTTTTATTCAGAAGCATCTCTGCTTATTTATTAGTTCTATTATCTCTTTTTTTGTTAATCATTTCTATTTTATCATCTGGGTACTTTCATTTAAAACTATTCTCTTAAATTACTAGTTGTGTTATAGATGCTTTTAGTTCTATTAAATCTCTACTTTGGTAGTCTTTATGCTTTACTATTTTGTTGTTTGCCTTTTTCTCTTTCTTTTTGTTTATGACTTTAGTATCTTCTTCTGCTATTATACTTTTCCTTTTTATATAAGTTTCTTAACTTATTATTTGTGTTGTTAATAGCTCTAGTTCTATTTTTGTTATCATAGTTTGTGCTTTCTCTTTACTGTTATATATTATATCTTGCATAATACTTTCATGCACTTCTTCTTTTTGATTAACTAGGAATCTTTTTTCTATTGTTGCACTCTTTTTTTATAAAGATTTTTTTGCACTTCTCTATGCTTGTCTACTAAGTCTCTTATAATATATACTTGAACTGAATCATTTGCATTTAAAAATTTTATTATATTTATATCTATTTGTGCAATGCAATTTTTTAATTTGTTCAAACATACATACTTTTCTGCTAATATTTTTTGATTTAAGTTATAAAACTCTTTGATTTCTACTATCAGTATTTTAATTATAGTTGTTTGTTTAACTTCTTATACTATTTTATTTCTAGAAGCTTCTATTTATTTAATTAATACTTAATCTTATTATTAATGTCTCATTTAGTTAGTCATGTTTCATACTTATTGCCTAATTAAACATGTGCTACTTTGTTTGCTTGTTTATTTACTAAATTTATGAGATTGTTTATTTTGTAATTTGTTTACATGTTAATTAATTAGCATTACAAGATTACAGATAAGTTTGAAATTTTTCAAAAATTTTCAAAAAAGTTTTTTTGTACTTTGATCAAGCAGCTTCTTTCAAAAGTTGTTCTATTAAACAATAGCTGTTTTCATATTTTCTTTCTTTTTTCTTAATAACCAAAACTTGTTTATTTAATCAACTTTGAAGCAAACTAAAATGTATCGATTTTTAACTTTATAAAATTGAAAATTAGCAGAAAGAGTTTTTTGATTTTACTATTATTAAATTTAGACTATTATTAAAAAACTTTAAGAATAACAATAACAAATATAAATGTAATAATTTAGTGAAGTGAATAAGTTATTAATTCTTTAAGTAGTAAATTAAATATTCAAAACTCATTAATAGTAAAAATTTGGATAATTATTTATATAATATTTGTATTATAATAATTGTTTCTAATAATTAAATTAAAATATTTGTAATAATAGTTATACTGACATAATTAGCAGATTATAAAACATTTATATAACTAGTTATACAAAGAAATACAAACTAGTATCAAGCAATGCAAACTCTAGATAAGTTTTTATAACTATAAAATTAGAAAACAAGAAGTCTATTTATAAAAACCCAAGCAGTAAGATAATACAGATTTTTAACAATATTACTGTAAAACTAGTTTTAAAAAATAGATACTAATATAAAGAAATCAGATAAATAAGAATCTCTAAATAGGAATACTACTAACCAAACTACTAAAATAAACTAAAGAAAAAGAATATCAAACCAATTGATATTCAATAGACTGGTTATAGTTCTACTAAATTATCTAAATTAGAAATCTAGTAACAATACAAGATATATTAAAGTAATTTAAATATGTTATAAAGTAGTACTAAGGCTAAAATAAACACTGTAAGAACATAGCAGTTTAATAATTAGCTTTGATCACAAGTATTGGTTCTGTTATAATAATACTAAATCAGCTATAAAAATAAATACAAAAAACTCTAAAAGATTTATCTTAAAAATTAAATAGTTCTAAGATTAAGACAATAATCTGAATATAATCTAATAATATTAATACAAGTTACAGATTCAAAAAGTTTAAAATAGAATATCTAAACAAAAGTATTAAGTATAACAATTAATAAAAAACTTTTAAACAAACTTCTTAAATAGGTAATATAAAAAAGTTACACATGTAACTAATTGTATACTCTTATTGTAATAGTTTATAAAATCATATTATCAAAAAAATCATTAATAAAAATCAAAAAATCAAAAAGATTACCTTAATGCCAAATAAAAATAACAAGTATATCAAAAATAAGAGATTATAAAAATAACATATTTAAACAAAACCAATTTAAGAATAATACAGTAATAAAACAAATAAAAAATGTAAAAAATAAGATATTATTAGATATAGTTAGATTAAATAACTAAATAAAAAAAAATTAAATAAAACATATAAATGAAACATACATAAATATGATATAAAAAACAATGTTTTTAATATATATTAAATTTAAAAATATTTTTGTTTGTATAATAGTTTAATAGTATATCCTAACTAAAAGTAATTATTATAATAACTACATGTAGACATATGACAGATATAAACTTAAACATTATATAAGTAACTAGATAAAGTCAGTAAAGTAAAATTAAAATAGCTAATATAATACCAATAATAACTGATTCTGTAAAATATAACTATAAATTGTATTATATAAACTTTAGAACCTAATAAATATTATCCAAGTTAAAAAAAATTAAATATTTGTTAAATTAAATCATATTTGAATTTAATTTAAGAATATTACTAACTATAACCTATAGTGATCATCACCTAGAGGCTATATCTCAAAAAATACACTAAGAAATAGAAGTCAGATAGACTAAGTAAAAATGTTCAGAACCTCTGAAAACTCTGTATAACCTAAAATTCAGACTATTATATCTAATCCTTGCTTTTGTCTTAAACTGCATCCTAACTCTAAAAATATAATCACTATAGGTTAATTGTAGTATTTTTCTTAATTTAATTTGAATTTTTTTTTTATATATACTGTATATATATATATTTTTTTTTTATTGGTTAGGGCACAAATATTTGGGCACGAGAATAATTTTCGTTTAGAGGAAAATTTCACCTACACATAATCCTGTGCAAAACATCAATAAAAATCTTAAAGTTCATATAGGTTAGGGTTAGAACTTAAATTAAGGTTAAAAATTCGTATAGTTTATAATAAAATTACTCAAGGAAAACTTCTTATTAATGCGCTGAAAGTGGTTATATATGCTAGTTTTTGAGAAATAGATGTTTTTTGACAAAACGAACGGTTTGTGAAACGTTACACCTGATCTTGGAACGTGATTGGTTTCTGATCACGTGTAAGTTGAGATGGGTCCGCAGACTTTCTTTATAAATCCAATTTTGTTTATTTTTTGACTATAAAACAAACCATTAAGAAGTCTATAAATAGTAATATTTATTTGATTTATAATTTAGTAATACAATACATAATTTCTAAATAAAAAATGTCAAGCCTCGGACATTTCTATATCCGGAATTGAATTTTCAGCGTTTAATTTTTTTAAAAGTTCAATTGCTTTAGGATAATTTTTCAGAGCAGCTAATCTGGCATAATGATTAGCCTTGCTCTTATTAATTGGTTCATTGTATAATCCCTCCATGTAAATAATTCCCAAATTATAAAGGGCAATTTCATTTCCATTATCAGCAGACATTTTAATATATTTAATTATTTCAGAATATTCTTTCGAGTCATTCTCTATCAAGGTAAATGCATATCGAAGTTGAGCTTCAGGAACACAATTATCAGCAGCTTCTTTGAAGAGTTCAAGAGCAGCATTCGTATCTTTGTTAACGTGATATCCACTTAGCAAGTAGTATCCTTTCCAGTACTTTGCAAGATTATTTCCACAACTAGCAAGACCAGAAAAACATTCCCAAGCAACTTCATAGTTCTTTTCTCGATGAGCTTTATATCCCTTTTCAAAAGGGATTAAGGTTTTAATAACAGGAATATTGTCCAAAGAAAATCTCCTACAATCCTCTGGAAATTTTCCCGTATCGCCTTTATTGATATCTTCAAGATTATAGGGTGGAATATTATTGTTATTAATATTTTTAGGTAGTATCATGGGAGAAACTCCTTTAGGAACATATTTTTCATAAGCTTCTTGAAGAGTTGTTAATATATTCATGACTTTTGGACGTTCAGCAGGAGCGTTATGCCAAGCTTAAATAATAAAATCATGTGATTAGATGAAATGCAAATGATTTATGCTAATACAAAAATAGGTTCCTGAAAATTACCCTGTTTAATAATTTTAAAAAGTTCTTGCGCAATTGGATTTGGATCAAGTAACATTTTTTCTCGTTTATTGTTTCTGACAAGTTGTTCAATTTCGGGCACGGAATTAATATTTTCATATGGAATTCGTTGGTGACAGAGTTCCCATAGAAGCATCCCGAAACTTGGCCACAGAAACAGTGAGATCATTTTGAAACACATAATAGCTTTTTAAATATTTAAAATGCATACCTATACATTTCACATTGATGATCATATGGAACAGCAGAACTATATTGAGAATTACTTATTTTTTCAGGAGCCAACCATCGAATAATGTTTAATATGTTCTCTATTCTCACAGATATCTCTTTTTCGTCCCTGCTAAGCCAAAAATTCGAAATTTTTGGCTCATAACTTTCGGTAATCTTTTAAAATAAGTTTAAATAATTATATTTTAGTAAGGATGTTTTTTTGCAGCAATCTATACAAATCTGATACTTTAATTTTTTAAAGGCTCTGATTTCTATTGATGGCTGCATGTTTTAAATTGAATGTGTTTTTACATACTAATATATTTTCACAGCGAATATCATGATGTAGAATATTGCATTTATGTAGAAATAAAAGACCATTACATATATCACGAGCAATTTTAAGTTTAGTACACCAATCAATTGAATTCCTTGTGTATAATTTTTTCAGATTACCATTCAGCGCCCAATCAAAAACCATAACAGGGCTATTATCTATTTTGGAATGTCCATGAAAACCAATAATATATTGACAAGTTCTCAATCTACGTAAGATAGCAAACTCTGCACATGATTTTATATCATTTTTCTCAAGAACCTTTTTACATGCAACTTTAATTCCCCGATAACTTCTTTTAAGAATAGTTTTTCCGGAGTCATTTTCTAATGAATCTGGAACAAGTTCGCGTGGATTTATTTCGGGTTCTCTATAGGCTTCGATTAAGGTGGAATCAATATTGGTAGTTCGCTTCATAAGTTGATCAAACTTTTCTGATAACTGTGTTAATTCTTTCATCTGTTCACTAAAAGAATCATTCATATTCTAATTTCACAAGTTCAAATATTATAAATATTAATCATATAGGTAATGTGGAAAATAGTAACAGATATTGATGGTTACCTTAGTTAAGACATTAATATCCTCCATAATTCTTTTATTTTCTAACTCTTTTTTGTTTCTATCATAAATAGCTAAGGTGAAATCTAAATCTTTGCAAACTTCTTCAAATTCTTTAATATTTTTATCAAATGCATCTTTAACAGCGTTTGCAGTTAAAAACTTTTGGAGACTTGACAATTGAGTGACTTCTTTCACAAATTTATTTGTATTTTCTAAAACGACAATAAATCTAACCCATGCATTATAATAGTCTTGTTTTTTAAAAAGTTCTTCATTTTCCATTTGTTGTCTTTCTAAAGATTTAACTGCTTGCTGAGCAATTTCAACACGATCAATTAGAGCTAAACAAATTTTTTGATTACATTTTCCATTTTTATAAGCTCTCGTTATTGAATCTACAATAATTGTAACAGACTGAAAAAATTGAAGAAATGGTTGAGCCGCTTCTCCAACAACCTGAAAACCATCAGCAACATTATCGGTTATGCTATTGTTTATTCCATATTCTCCACATAAATTTGGTTTATAATTATTATCGTCTTTCTTTCTTTTTTTTTTGTTTTCATCAGATTTCATTGTACATTCTCCTTTATCTTCTTGCGACATCGTTTTATCTTCAAATATTTTATCTTCTTCAGACATTATGACTTTGACTATTTATATACAAAAAAGTTTTTACAAATGTTTTGTTCGGACTAAAGACGGAGTGTACAAATCCGTTTTTACGTAATTGTCATCCATGGATTTGTACAACCTGTGACATCATGTATGCTCTAACACTATTTGGGAACGCCCACGGCAAAAGCAGGGGATGGACTATATAATATATAGTCCCATCCCCTGCATTTGCTATGGGTGTTCCCACAGATAACAATAACCAAATTGGATGATCGAACAGCTTTGATTTAATTAACTAGAGATAAATGACACGTAGTAAATTACCACGTAGACTACATACCCTGGGTAGAAATTTTGAAAGCCTACGCAGATTTTTAACAATGCTTTTAAAATTTGGCCGGGGTGATAATGCCGACTCAAAGGAGATAATGCGTATTTCATACGTAGATTGCATAGACATCAGCAAATTTTTGAAGAAACGCAATATTTCGAAAGATTTGCGATTGAATTTAAATATTTGCTCAGATCTCCAAGATTTATTAAGAAACTTTGTTCAGAAAATTTTCCGGTCACGATGGTTGGTAAATCATCAAAATTGGTCCAATATTCACTGAGATAGCTTAATCGAAAGGATTTCGAAAAATTTCCAATATATTTGAATTATTGTGCAATATTCGAAAATTTTTGAAATTCTTTCGATTTAACTATCTCAGTGAATATTGGATCAATTTTAATGATTTAACAACCATCATGACCGGAAAACTTTTCTGAACAACTTTACTTTGTACAAGATTGTAAAGTTTCTTAATAAATTTTGAAGATCTGAGCAAATATTTAAATCCTTTTGAAATATTTCGCATCAAACGCAAATCTTTCGAAATATTGCATTTTGAAAAATTTGCTGATGTAGGTTATCTAGCATAACGTAATAAACAATTTATACAAAATCAATATGATTTATTTTTTCTATTTCATTATATTTCTTAATTATATTTTTATTTTCTATCATAATTACAATAAAAGATATAACAAGAAACAGTGTACATAAATTCTACTAAATATCATTTTAATGTCCAATTTAGTTTATAAATCTGTTATAGAACGGCTCTCATTATATTGAACATTCATAATAAACCCTGAATATAAAGAGTAGATTAGCACTCATAATAAAACATCTGCAATGTATAACGAGCTTCAAAATTTTATTTTTTGCTTCGGACCTTTATCAGATTTTACCGTATTTTGCGGAATAAAGTACTTACGTGATTGGGGTATTTCATGTACTAATTAATCAAAGTCATGTGAGATGCATTAGTAATTTAACTATAATCAGATTTTGTGCATAAAATTGATCCCAAAATTATAAAATATTTACTAGCATTCAAAAATCGATTAATCTCACGTATTAACTATTTGTTTATAGAGATTTTTGTAGCAAATGATTCGTAATATGTGAAAAAAAGAAAATATGGCTTAATATTTTAAGAAAGTTGTTATTGCCACCCCCCAAATTTGTTAATGCCACCCCTCTCGTGATCCGAGCTAACCTCCGATCTATCTCGGACCTATATAATGCAGTTCGAATAAATATAGAAGTTACATGAACAACTATATTTATTGCAAATTTCGGAGTTATTTAAAGCATGATGTGCACATGACTTTTATATATGAAATTTTGTTTACACAACGAAGTACAAAATAAGCGAAAAGTTAAAAATTATAAAAAAAATATAAAAAATGATGATCTAAACCTGTCTTTAAAAAATGTCGAGAAGTCATAGGCAGAAGTTTGTCTGATTGGCTAATAACTTCAATTTAATTTTACATTATTTATACAGTTTAGAGTACATTTTAAAAAACGAAAACTAATCATAATGAAATAAAAAAAGAGCTGTATAGAAGGTTTCGTTAGAACTGTAGGATTTCATATCCAAAAATAAGATCTAATTCTTGTCCGTTTAAAAAAGTTAGTATAGTAATAACTTCTCAAAACCCGACAAATTCAACTTATTACTAGCTAATTTTTTTAAACGGACGAGAATTAGATCTTATTTTTGACTATGGAGTCCTACAGCTCTAATGAAACCTTCTA